TGAAAAAGGACAATTTCCCTGTTTTAGACCACAGAGGGTACAATCAAACAGGGGCCTACCTTATAGAAAGGCTGCAGCCAAACAAATAAGGGATATTGTTCCTATGAAAGCCTTGCTCTGTATCTTACACGCTCAAAAGACACTTCTTTTTTCTCTATATTTAGTAAAAGGTTAAATCCAAATCAAAATAAATCCTCTTTGCTCCTACCTCAAGCAGGCCATGGCTTCTGGTACTTGCAAGCCCTGAACCAATTTAATTGTTTAATGTCATAAAGTGGCAGGGTCATGTTAACACATTTGACTTCCAAGCTGAGTTATTTAATCAAAAACTCCAAACCCCAGTATCAGTATTTGGACTCTATTCAGATGTCAATTGCTTCTGTTTTAGCAGAGGCATTTGTTATCAGAAAACAGTACACAGAGCTTTAAGTACAAGAGATCAGCCATTTGTGGAAACCAACCCTACCCATACACTGAAATACATATATACACGCACCACGTACACATGCGTGTGTGAAAGGGGAATGCAACCAACAGAGAAGCAGAGCAAGGGATTGAATAATGGTCAAGAGCCAAAAGCAGGGAGGGCTGAAATAATGTCATCACTCCGAAAAAGAAATTACTGAACTCCATGAGTTCTTGATATAGTTTTTGTGGCCACCAACCGCTGTCCTAATTTATCCAATAAAGCATCCGATAGAGGTAAGAGGGCTTTCCTCTTCCTGCATTCAGGTTTAATCTGATCACTGATCTTATCCACATGATGTCTTAGCAGGGGTTACTGGAGATTGCAGAGGATAGTGTGGTGCAGATGCCCAAGTAACTCTGTTACCACCTTTACCTCCCCCTCCCATCCCCTGCCCATGCACAGATCACTCTGAATATTCATTGTTGCTGATGGTTCCTTCAGACTGAAATTGTTTTCTTCAACAATATCAGCCTAAAGCCAACCAAAATTGTTCAAAATAAAAAGGAACAGCATATTATAGCTTTAAGTAAGTTGCTGCAGGGGGTATTTCTAAACCAAGATTTTACGTGCCAAATTTAGACTCCAGAAGGCAACAGATCACCCTGACACATGGGGTTTTTTTCTAATCTTGGCTAGAGCTTATGAAACAACAAAACTCCTCTTACCTTTTGCAAACTTCATATAATGGACACGTTTCTTGGAAGATTTGGACTTTTCTTCGAGACTGAATGTTTTCTTCCGAGTATTCACTGAGGACTCTAAAAAGGAAAAAAAAAAAACTCGAACAGGTTCCAACCCTGTTAGAGGCACTCTACACCAAATTCAAACATCAGTGTATTTAACTTTCTCTCTCAAAACCAAGTCTCAACAACATTTCACTATATATTACTGAAGGAAGCATGATAAGTTTTGTCTGAGACGTGTTACTGCTTGATTTTTTTTTTGCCACATTCCCTTCCCATTTCCAATCTAATGTAATTTGAAAAGGCAGGTACAGGTCAAAGGCAAAATCTAATTTAACACCATTTCTACAGTAAGAAAAGAATAATAGCTCAGGGTTTATTGTGCTGTTTGTTACAAAATATCTCCAGTGACAGAGTCTGAGAAAGATGTAAGAAATGGTACAAAATAAAATACTGAACCTGACTGGGTAGAAAGAAAAAGGGAGAAAAAAAAAAAAAAAAAAAAAAAAAATCACACAGACAGGCTTTCCACTTCTCACACTCCATGAAGTGCCTCTATTTGGACATAGGCTGGTACATCTGCGTAAGGAAATTAAACGGCGGCAGGGCTTTTCTGTCCCTGAGGCCAGCTAGAACTAATTGCTACAGCCATATTATTTAATTTTCTGAGCTTCCAGAAGAGGGGCTACAACTAAACCGCTCACTGGGAATGGTCTCCGGGGTTGGTTAAGTCCCAGATTCACTCAGGAGTTGTTTGCAAGAATGTTAGCTTGTGCAAGTGAAAACCATGTGAAGGATTAGTCTAACTAATTAACAGCAGAGATACCACGTTCCTGTGCTGCGGCAGGTACAGACCTACTCTTTGCATCCACAGAGCCTGTTAATTTACAAGAAATTCTTAGAAGGAGGTAACCTGCTGTCTGGTTAATAACTACTTTATTGGTCCTGTCATGAAAAGAAACAGGCACCACAGGCTTCCCTGCTCTGTAACTCTAGAAAAGACTCCTCTGGTGAGATGGTTTTTTGCCTACCAGCGGCAACTGGGATGAGTACGGAAATCAAACCATACCCTGACAGCCAAGTTGAGTCACCTTTTTCATATGATCCCACCCCTGAAAGTTCTGCAGACCAAGCTTTTCTGACATTGGAATTACAGCACTTCACTGTTTGATAGGTAGTGACACCTGATGATAGTCATTGACTCAAAAAAGAAATCTGCAGCCTGTGGTGGGAGAGCTGACTACCAGAAAGCAGTCTGAGATCTACTCTTCCATTTACACACTAAGCCCTAACGAGAAGAGGAAGGATTAGCAAACCCAGGTTTAGACAGAGTTTGCAGTTTACTTGAAAATCCTCATGAAAACGGGTCTATGGGGAAAGTAAGCATCGCACCTAAAATATCTTGAGCAGAGATGAGGCGCTTTGAGTCTGCTCTCAGATCCACTTGTGCCAAAGGGAACATTACACAGCAAAGGATTTCCACGGCGCTTCCTCCTCCATGTTATTCTTACAGCAGAAGGGGCAGCAGCACCGCCTTGTGCCTTCAAGGAGGAATTTCACTGCTGAAACATGCTGGTGCTTGCTGGACAGGTACCTACATCCCTGTGGTCTTCTAGTGACTGGTAAATCCTCTGACAAATGCGCAAGCACTGCAGGAATATTAATGTGCTTTTTAAAGCAATTTAGTCATAGCAATAAAGCCATGTGTCATTTCTATAGCAAATCTGATACAGATGAATATTCCAAAGCACCTTACAGACACAGTCAGCACACAGTTGCCCCACTTTACGAACAGGGAAGGGACACAGTCATCATCAATATCCCAGCAAAAGATCCAGGAACCAAAACTCCTCACTAGCTAGAAAAAAAAAAAAAGACAGCTAAAACTACATACATCAAGGGTATTTGAATGTTGGCATACTAAGCACCACGGGGCCCTTCCTTCCCGATCTCTAATTGCAATCCAACTCTGGCAACTACACATTTAAGAACAATGAAGTTTTTCAGCTGACTTTTAATGCAATTTGAAACTGGATGATAGCCAATAATGTAACATTTGATCCTGTAGCACAGCTGCAGGCAGAGTTATCTGGATGAGTGTCTCCAGCTTAAACAATTGCCAAAACCCCCAAGTTTCAGAGCGATGCTTGCAGACTGCAAATCACTAAATGTCATTCTGACCGGGAATTTTCAATGTGCACCCAAATGTGTCCTCAGACATTGAAAACTCTTGTCCCAGCTCCTAAAAAGATGAAGGAAAAATAACTGAGTAAAACAGGGAGAAATGCGGTTTTCAGGGGCCACTTTGCATAAGTACAAATGACCCAGGGAATACTGCACAGATTTAGGAACAAGACAGCCTTGCTCAATGAACCTGCTTCTGTGCTGACTCACCGTCTCCTTGGGGCAAGTCATGTCAGCTCTCTGCTCATCAGCTTGCAGGTTTCCCACCAGTTACACCTCACTGATCTTCCCATGGCTCAAGTTGGAACTTGGGTAGGATTTAGTTATAAAGG